GGATGAGATGGGGGCAACGGTGCTGGTGCAGGCACTTGGGCAACTGGAGGAGCAGGGACAAAGGCTGGGGGAGAGAACAAATATTGGCTTTATCTATTATGCTTTAGACCAAACCAATTTCAGTCACCCATATGTCAGTAGGATTTCTCCCTCTAAGAAACACCATTTGTTAACACACACGCACCTATACACTAATCACATCTGAATACATCAATTCTATTAGCTTGCAGATAAAATGTGGTTATATTTTTATACAATTAGGAGAATCATTTGATAGGACAGAAATTTTGTATAATATGCTCCTGCTCATAAAGCAAATCATTGAGATTTTTAATTTTTTTTAAGCAACTAAAGTGGCAAACATATCACTCACCAGCTGGGACAATCATATGTGGAGAACGCTGTGCCATCATGGGTGGAGGATTGGGTGGCATTGGCACCACATTGATCCTTGGTGAGTGTAGTATTGGTGGCATGGGAGCCGTTAAGACAGAACCTGGTGGAAGACGCACCACAGAGGTCATAGGAGGCCTCTGCATCACTGGCATGGCAGACACCATAGTGGTACGTATAGGAGGTGGCATCTATGGGGAGGAGAAAGAAAAAAAAAAGACAAGAAAACAGTTAATGCAGGGAAATTATAAATACAAGTAAAATGCTGAAACATTTAAAAAAATAAAATATTTATCAAACCTCTAGCAGGTTTTTCAGATTTTGTTTCCCACTTCTCTGTAAGCCTATGATACCTTTCTATAAAAGATAGTTCCTCATTTCTGAACTAGACCTAACACTACTGAAATGTTAATGGAGATGAATAGAAAAACCGAGGCAAGCATGAAATGCACAATCCCTTGAGAATGTATTCCATGCTTTCCTGAGCAGCTCCAGCAAAGAGGTTTGTCAATGAGAATCCTCTGATTGGAGTATTCTCTATTTAGGGAGAGGCTTCCAAAGGCAGCAGAAAAAAAAACCCCAAAGAAAAATAAAGACACTCTTTCATTGGGTGCATATCTACTCGAGTTCTAGAAATAAATGCACACGCAATTTCATTGGGTGTTTACCTATTCATAGACTTCAACATTTATATGCCCAGTGCAACGTTAAGCTGATTATTCACCATCCAAACAAATGGCACGCCAAGGACTTTAAAATCAAAATAAGACTTTTCTTTTGCTATGATAACCTTCTTCGATATAATTTTAATTCCCCTGTCCAATGTAGTGTTTCTTTAAGCATGTAAGTAAGACATTAGACAAGGCTTACCGAGGGTGGTCGAGACACTGGTGTGTTCATCTGTTGTTGGTGGGATAGTGGAGGTGGCCTAGATGCAACATTCATAGGTGGGGCAGAGCTGGTCATGGTTGATGCAGAAGATGGAGGTGGAGGTTGAGACATCTCATTGGGCTTGCTGGGACCAATCTTGTCCTTGCCATCCTCTTCTGGCACCAGTCCCTTAGCCTTGTGAATGGCCTCAATTTGCTCCTGTAAGGTTATATTGGCTTGCGCTGCTTGCTGGGTACGTGCCATGCTGCCAGAGTGCCCATCCCATGTTACCTATTGTGAAAGGAGAAACACGAGGAGATGAAACAAACAATAAAAAGTACTATTTTGTCCCAGATTATGACCTTGGATCAAGAAGATACCTTTTCTTCAGGCTTCTGGATCTCCTCTTCTCCAATCTTTTTACCAATGGCTGTTTCTTCAACACCGAAGATATCGGTACGACGTTCAGCCAACTGCTTCAAGCTGCTCTCAATATCCAGCCCTGAGAAGAAAAAGTTGGAGCTGAAAAACTAAGTAACTTAACTGTACCATGCAAAAAACAGTTTTTCCACTTGATAAAGCCCCAAGAGGGTGAAACGTGATTTTATTCTGTATTTCACTAAAAATATTTTGGCTACCCTTTTATACCTTTTAGTCTGTTACTTTTACCTGGCATCCTGCACAT